CTTCATGTCTCTCATTTTTCTTGTCTTCTGTCTTCTTCCTTTTCTTCTGTTTGTCCCTCTGCCTCTCCCCTCTTCTTTTCCTTCTCTTTGGAGCTTCTGCCTCTCCTCTTCACCCCCACCTCCTGCCTAAGCAGTAGGGAAATGAGAATGTGGGGAAGGGTCCAAGCTTTCCTTCTTCCTCGACCCAGGCCTTTACTCCCACTGTGAGCAGATGGGAGGCGTCTCTGCATTCCTTTCCATGGAATGGTTGCTCTGCCATGGCCACCTGGGGAGAACAAGCTAGGGCATAAAAGGCTTGGGAGGAGGAGGAGGATGGAGGCAAATGCTGGGTCAGCTTTCTGGTGAAGCTGGGGTGAAAAGGCAGGCAGTCCCAAGAGTCCAGGGCTTCCACTAAGGTGGAGGCAGGCAACCTTAGGTTTGGAAGGCTGGGAGAGTGCAGCCACCTTGGGGCCAAAGTCTGGGCAAGAGTGACAGCGGTGATCTCATCCCCATTTCTGAGAGGAGGAGATTGAGGCTGAGGGCTGGTCCCCAGGGTCCTTTGTGTTGGAGGAGAATGCGCTAGGGTGGGCCTATAGTGTGCCAATTGCCAAGTTGCTATGGTTACCGGGGGATGCCCAGAGCCATTAGAGCACCAGGTTCTCTCTCCTCCCCCTCCCTCCCTTCAGGGGGGAGGGGCAGCGAATGAATACCAAGGCACGCACCAGGTAGGCTCCTGGTGCTGGCCAATAGAGTCTGAGGAGCACGGTAGCCAGGGAACAGTAACCAAGGTAACCAAGGAACCGTCGCCTTGGAAGCTCCATCACATACGCGCTCTGCTCCGTGGCAGGCAGCCTGGGCCAGGGCTGGGACACTCTGGATCGAAGGCACTGAGCCCCAGCAGCTGATGGCAGTGATTTCTGCCCCTACCCACTACTCCGCACCCGACCCAGGCCTCCCTCCATGGGGCTCACAGTTGGGCTCCAGCCAGAAATAGTGCCCGGCCCTGTTGTCATGATGACACTTCCCAGCTGGTCTGGAACCCCCTCCTGTCCTGGCTCCTCCATATCCCTCCCCCTAACCCTTCCCAGAGCCATCTCCACCCAAAATTGGCTCCCAGGCCCTAAAAGTTCTTCCAGCCGCCGCCGCTCCCTCTCCCCAGGGCTCTGTACACATATGAGGACGGCTCGGATGACCTCAAGCTTGCAGCATCAGGAGGTAAGAATTCCAGCCATTCCTTCCCCTTCCTCTCCACCCCCTCCTCCGGTTGTTTTCTTTCCCACCCGCCTGGCCCTGGGCCACCTTGTTGCTTGCATCCAACATCCCCACACTTATCTGGCGGTTGTCTCTCCTCTGGTCATCCCCAGAGGGTGGGGAGGGAGGGAGCCTTGTTTTCCAGTTAACTGAGGCAGAGACTGGAGGGGAAAGTGACTTGCCCAAAGTCACTCAGCTAGGAGGAAGGGACCTAGCAGGGATGGGCCTGGATCAGCCCACTATCTTCAGAGCCCACAGGGCTTTGTTTCACACTGTTAGGGTTGGGTACCACTTCACACTGATGTGTGAGAAGGGATGATGTGTGAAGATGGCTAGAGCTAGCAACCACTTCTTTGTCCTACCCTAAATCTGGCTCCTGGGGGCTCAAAGACAAAGCTAGCAGCTGGCTTCCAGCCCTCCTCACACTAACATAAAACTTTGGGAGCTCTACATTTTGAAAAGCAGAGCCTGGGAGCATTCTGTCCTGTGGGATCCAGAGCCTTCATGGGGGTGGTAAGGGTTTGGGAGAGGGAAGTGCTGACGCCTTCCTGACTCCCTCAGAAGGGGGCTTGCAGGAGCTCTCCGGCCACTTTGAGAATCAGAAGGTGATGTACGGCTTCTGCAGCGTCAAGGACTCCCAGGCTGCTCTGCCAAAATACGTGCTTATCAACTGGGTATGTAGCTGTGGGCTGGGAGAGGGCACAGAGGGCCCCAGATCAGCTACCCTTCACCTTTCCCTTCTCCCACTGGTCCCAGGGAGGGTGGCCTGCTGCCCGCTCTTCGACTCCCTCTTTGATGGGTATCTTGCAGGTTGGTGAAGACGTGCCTGATGCTCGCAAGTGTGCTTGTGCCAGCCACGTGGCTAAGGTGGCTGAGTTCTTCCAGGTGTGCATGGGGCCAGGCCCCGTGGGGACAGGGACAACCACCCAGGGAGGGGTCTGTACACTGGGAGTGGTGACGGGGCCACAGTGCTCCCTGAACACTCCCTTTTTGCTAAAGGGCGTCGACGTAATTGTGAATGCCAGCAGTGTGGAAGACATAGACGCGGGTGCCATTGGGCAGCGGCTCTCCAATGGGCTGGCTCGGCTCTCCAGCCCTGTGCTGCACCGCCTGCGGCTACGGGAGGATGAAAACGCTGAGCCTGTGGTCAGTGTGGGCGTGGGCCTGTGCTGGCTGTCCCTACCCTGGGCCCTGTGTCTGGCCCTCCCTTGCCACTCATAGTACCCTTGTTCATGGGGTTCCCAGAGTACCCAGCCTGCTCTCCACCCTTATGCCCCATAATTTGACCCTACAGGGTACTACCTATCAGAAGACGGATGCAGCCGTGGAAATGAAGCGGATTAACCGTGAGCAGTTTTGGGAGCAGGCCAAGGTGTGGACCCCGACCCTGGCCTTTAGGCTGAGCTGCCCTTCCCTGACCCCCTGGGGTCACTTGGGCTACTCTCCCAAGGGACTGTGCCCCAGACCACATGCTTTCCCATCTCGAAAGAGAGAGCTCTTTTGACCCATTCCTACTATTCCCAATTCCCTAGCCCTGGGCTTGGTGGATGGAGGACCAGGTCCCCAGGCCCGCCAGCTCAAGGCCTGCACTTCTTTGGTGTGGGGCTTACAGAAGGAAGAGGAACTAAGGAAGGAGGAGGAGAGGAAGAAGGCCCTGGATGAGAGGCTTAGGTTTGAGCAGGAGCGGATGGAGCAGGAGCGGATGGAGCAGGAGGAGCGCGAGAGGCGCTACCGGGAGCGAGAGCAGCAGATCGAGGAGCATAGGTGCGGCCCTGTCCGCCCTGGCAGCCTGGCCCTAGTGCCTCTCGTGCCCACCCTGAGTGTACCTGCTGGCTTCTTGTTCCAGGAGGAAACAGCAGAATCTAGAAGCAGAGGAGGCCAAGAGGCGTTTGAAGGAGCAGTCGATCTTTGTAAGTTCTAAGCCGGGGCTCTCAGGCTTCTGGTCAGGCAGTGACACTGCTCCCTGTGCCTGGGCCTCATGAGGAGATTGGGGCTTTGGGAACAATACTGGGTGCTCTAAGGACCTCTGCACGGCCCTAGGGGGCCCCTTGGAGGGTCAGGCCTGGCACCTGATTATGACGCTGGTTTCTGGCTATGGATAGAGACCTCCTTGGAGAAGCTTATACTCTAGATTGGAAGAAAAAATGTACTCCCTGCCAGGGCACCCCTGGCCCCTCCTCAGTGGGGCCTGCAGGGCTTGGGGTAAATTAGACTTTGTTTCTGCACTGAGGGGCTCAAGGCCTAGTCCCCACATAAGAGTGATACAGAGCCTTGTGAATGAATGAGCTGTACCTGTTTTTTGAGTGTCTGTATAAGTGTGTCTCCATGTTCCAGGGGTGCTGCTAAATTGCCAGACACTGGGAATGGCCCATAGCACCTGAGAACTGGCGTTTTGGAAATTACAGTGGGGTTACATTTATGTACTTTGGACTGAATTTTGTATTTCAGAAATAGCTAGAGTCATTCAGGTTCTTGCATGGTGCCATTCAGGGAGGGAGGCCTGGATTGGGATTATGGTTGGCAGATGTTGGGCCTTGGGTGACTTGTACAAGCTCCAGGGTCACATCCAGGAGAAGACAGCCCTTCAGGCACTGGCATTAATAAGTGCTCTGATCACATCAACTGCCGGGTGGGTGCAGCTGACGTCTAGTTGCTCATGCCTCAGTCATTCAGTTAACACATACTTGCCACCTTCCATGTGCTGAGTGCTGGAAACAGAACAAGATGGGCAAGGTCTTTTTGAAAAAGCTTATTTTTATGGAAAATTTGGCTGAAGATGGTATGTGCACACAAACACACAGAGAATAATATAGTGAGTCCCCTGAACTTATTTTCACCAGTTATCAGCATTTCTGACAAAGCCTTATGGTGTTCACATCATTATTTTACAGTCTTAGGTGCTCCTTCATGTGACAGTGGATATGCCAACAGTCAGTGTGGTGGCCTTGCAACTTCAAGCCTCCTAAGGAAGATTCTGTATGAGAAACTTTGGAAATTAGTACCATGAAATAGTTTCTTTTAACTTGAGGAGCTGTTCTGCTTTCTCTCTCCTTTTACCAAGATTTTATGCCTTATTTTGGTTCCTTTTTTTCCTGGACTGCCAGCGAGCTCCCATGTATCTGAAGATGCTCAGGCCCAGCAGTGCCTTTGGCCTTCATGGTTAGCATATTGATCTCTCCTATGCACAGCTCTTAATTTGTTGTTTCAGTAATTTGTTGTTTCAGTGTTACTCGCACTGTTAGTAGTTAAAGCCTTTGTGATAAGCTGCCTATGGTTCTTATTTTTGAATCAGGCAGAGAAGCCTAGCAAGATGTCACTGGCAAAGGCTTAACTGCTCATTTATGGGAGGGTGAGGAGCCTGGCCTGGCTGGAGCCCAGTGGGCTAATGAGCAGGGAAGAGTCGATTGGAAGGGAGAGCAGAGTCAGGGGAGGCATTTCGACTTCATTTTGAAGGACACATAGAGTTATGGAGTGACAACCCTTGTGAGGGGCAGCAATCCTTTGAAGGGCCATTCCCTTTATGCACCTTGGCCAGTGTTTAGGTTCTGTGTTCAAAAGCAAAGAAGCCTTGCTCCTTCACTACCTTTCCTAGAGCTTGTTCTCTCCTCCCATCAATCCCTTCTGCCCAGTTTGCCACATGAGCAGTGTAGTGAGTTCAACTGAGCAAACATGAACCACCTCGATCTTGGGCTGGCCTTTCACACACAGACCTGAGTCCATGTCGTGTCGTTCGCAGGGACGTAAGGGAGATGACCCCAGAAACAGGAAATTATAATACAGCGTAATTTGTAGTGTACGCCAGGAACACCCATGGCGACCTTGAGAAGAGAATGGCCTGACTCAGAGACCTTTTTCCCCAAGGAGGCAGTGCCCAAGCTGGGACTGAAAGCAGGAGGAGTCAGACCTGGGGGTGGGGTCAGCATTTGAGGGTGGGGAGACTTATCTCCCATGCCAAGGCACGGAGGTGGGAAACTATGCATGTTCCAGGAACTAACTGCTTCATGGCTGAGGACTTTATATCTACACATCATGGAGGGGATACGGGGCTGGTGGCGCATGGGGTTTGGAGAGGGGATGGGGCCAGATCAGCAAGAGGTCCTGATCACTTGGGAGATTGTAGTCTCAGGACATAATGAGTGACTAGGCAAGTATAGTACAGCAGGGAGTGGTGGAGACTGCAGCAAGTTGGACAGCACACACCCGGATGAAAGGCAGCTGCAGCAAGGCTCTGGCCCATGGCTGTTTGGGGAGAATGTGGGTCAGTGTTGCCAGAGCTCCTGGCATTTCAGGATAGATTCAGATCCAGATTTCAGTATGAAACTTCCTGATTTTGAAGTGGTGGCAACTAATTAGTGTTTTTTAAAAACACCACACTGGCCAAACAAGCACCATCTGTGGGAATCTTCAGCAGTGCTTGCTGTGACTTACAAGAAGCTCCAGAGGGGTTTTAAGCTAGGAAAAATTATGGTCTGATTTATGTTTTCAGAGGTCCTTCTGGGCCTATAAGGAGCTCTGGTAGCACAGTGACTAAGGCATCTGACTGTTAACCAGAAGGTTGGTGGTTCAAACCCACCAGCCACTCCACGGAAGCAAGACCGGGCAATCTACTTCTGTGAAGATTTATCACCTCAGAAACTCAATGGGGGTCGCTATGAGTTGGAATGAACTCGATGGCAGTGGGTTTAGTGTTTTTTTTTTTCTTTTTCTGTTTTCTGGGCCTATAGAGATTAGATAGGGAGGGAGAGGCTGGTGAGGGAGCCCCTGCTCAGATGCCCAGGTCTAGGCAGTGCTGGTGAGAGAGTGGCAGGCAGGCACTGGGGTGGGAGGTTTGAGAAAAGGTAGACATGAGGAAGGAGAGCTGGAGGATCTTGGGGGCCTGGGTGGCTATGAATCGGGTAAGGGAAAGGAGATGCTGAGTGAGTGTCCAGAGCCTGGCCAGTGAGAGTGGAGAGGGGCTGGGTAACTGGTGGTAGGAGGACAAGAAGTACCACCACAGAGCCTCTTCCTTCTGTGGAAGAAACATGGGAGCTTTAAGAAGGCGTTGGTGGATGTGGGGTGCCCAGGACACTGTCCCTTTGGTTTCCAGGGTGACCAGCGGGATGAGGAAGAAGAGACCCAGATGAAGAAGTCTGAATCAGAGGTGGAGGTAAAAACTGAGAGGACAGAACAGGTGAGGTGGGCAGGGTTGTCTCAGCCCAGCCAGGCCCTGACCCTGGCCTCTGCCCACAGGAGGCAGCAGCCATCATTGCCCAGCGGCCTGACAACCCTCGAGAGTTCTTTAAGCAGCAGGAACGAGTCGCATCAGCCTCTGCGGGCAGCTGCGATGTGCCCTCACCCTTCAACCACCGGCCAGGTAGTCCCAGCCCCCTGCCCTGCCCCTTACTTCTCAGGTTTGGGCCCTGAGCCTCTTTGGGACTATTTCTTGGAAGGGAAACTTTGCCCAAGGACCCCCTGGAGAAGGCCAAAGAGGCCCATCAAATGTTCTTCCATCTACCATTTCCCAGGTTGCAGGGCCCTGAGATAGGCTTGGGGAAGTCGATGTTGGGCCTTGGCTGTTCAGTGGGTGGTGCCAGGTGGGCAGCTCTGACGTGGGCTGGGGGACCTCACTAGCCACATAAAAGCCAGCAGGGAGTGGCCCTGCTGGGGTTGAACTCGGTCTGGCCTATAGGGCTGGTGGGTGCATGTGAGGCATACTCTGACCCTGACCTGAATCAGAGCAGCCTGGGCCTGCACCGGGGCTCCCTGTTCAGCTTCTCCCTACACAGCTTCTGCCTTCCGCTCCAGCATCCTCCACCCTGTCTGTTGGTCCCATTGTGTTGACACCTGCTGCTGTGTGAGCCCTCTGCTGGTGTTTGGTCAGGTGGGGGGTGGCAGGCTGTCCCCAGCTCATCAGCTGCTCAGAGCCTAGCTGTGTGTGGCAGGCTTCTTGCTGTGTGGCTGGTGCTGGTGGGAGTTGGCTGATGCTTGAGGCTGTGGCCCAGCTTGCTGAATGTATTCCTGGTTGCGGGCAGCTTGGACATCCAGGGCCAGCACTGGGGGCGGGTGAGGCATCTGCAAGGGTGGGGGACACTGACCCTCTCTTGTCCTCTGTCTCTTTCTCTGTCTGTCTCTCTCAGCAGGTCGTCCGTACTGCCCTTTCATAAAGGCATCGGACAGTGGGCCTTCCTCCTCCTCCTCTTCCTCCTCCTCCCCTCCACGGACTCCCTTTCCCTATATCACCTGTCACCGCACCCCAAACCTCTCTTCCTCCCTCCCATGTAGGTAGCAGCCCCAGGCCTTGGCGGGGGGGGTAAGGAGGGCCCCGCTTCCCAGCAGCGCCCCCTGCCCTCACACCCCCGCCCCAGGCTGACCGCTGATCTCTGGAGTTTGTTCCTAGAGCAGGTACTGCCTGCCTGTTTTCCCTGGCCCTGCAGGGGCGCTGGCCCCCAGGGACCTGGCTTACAGGGTCTAGAGCTGTGGTCTGGCCCCTGGGGGGTCTGGGGAGCTCACAGTCTTCACCCAGACTCCAGAGAGGAAATGCTGGCCAGGCCCCAAGGTGAACAGTCTTGGTCCCATCTAGCTCCTTGGCCCTCACTGACCAGTCTGGGGCTTTATTCTGCAGGCAGCCACCTGGACAGCCACCGGAGGATGGCTCCCACCCCCATCCCCACCCGGAGCCCATCCGACTCCAGCACAGCCTCCACCCCTATCACTGAGCAGATTGAGCGGGCCCTGGATGAGGTCACATCATCTCAGCCTCCACCACTGCCACCGCCGCTACCACCAGCCGAAGGTGAGACACCCTCCCAGTCAGGGTCTTCACTTCATCCCCTGGGCTGGGAACTCCAGGTTCCCATGGTAACAACTCCCCAGGGATCTGGGCCACCTATCACCAAGACTGAACTGTCCTGGAGATTGCTGTAGTATGGGAGGAGCCCTGGCACTGCAGTCAAATCTGCCCCCCTTTGAGCCAAAGGGCCTCAGCTGTGAAGGGGGATCAGGTTGGGGTGTTGAGTGGGTTAAAGACAGCCTGGTGCAGCTGGTGCAGCATGCTTGCCCTCTGACCCCCGTTGACAGTTGAGTGGAGTTGTATTTGAGAGTCCTCAGCTCCTTTCTCAGGGAGAGGGGAGGGTATGATAAGGTCTCCATTCCTTCCCCAAGGGAGTGGATCATAGCTCTCTCCTTATCTATGCTGTCACAGAGACCCAGGAGCCCAGCCCCCAGTTGGAGAGTGAAGAGACCAGCAAGGAAGCCCAAGCAGCAGCCCCTCAGGCCTGGGCCAGCGCCATAGAGGAGCCCCTTCTGGCAAGGGAGCCTCCCCAGGGGGAGGGCAGCCCTGCGGAGGACTTGATGTTCATAGAATCTCCAGACCAGGCTGTTCTAGCCGCCCCTCTGGAGCCTGCTCCAGCCAGCACCACTGCAGCTGACCCCTCCATAGCTGTCACAGCTGACACCATTGAAACCAACACTGCCGCTGTTGACACCACTGTTGCCAACACCTCCGCTCCCGCTGCTGCCAGCCTCATTGACCTATGGCCTGGCAACAGGGAAGGGGCCTCTGCAGCCCAGGCCTGGGAGCCAGAGGCCAAGTCCGGGGCCCCCACACCACCCTCAGGTGCTGAGGTCACTGTGGAGGAGATGGCCCTGCTGGACCAGGGGGCTCAGGAGCCTCTGCCACCAGCGGGGGAAGGCTGTGCCAACCTTCTCAATTTTGATGAGTTGCCTGAGCCCCCAGCCACCTTCTGCGACCCAGAGGAGGAAGTAGAAGGGGAGTCCCTGGGTCCACCCCAGGCCCCAACTCTGCCCTCTACTCCAGAAGATCTAGATCAAGAACCAGAGTCAGAGCCAGAGCCCCACGTGTTGACCAATGGCGAGACCACTCAGAAGGAGGGGACCCAGGTGGGGGCAGAGGCAGCCTGGGGGCAGGGGGATGGTCAGGGCTCCGGTAGAACTGCATTCCTCAGGTTTGCAGCAGCACCTTACTTCTCTGTAACCCACATTGTTGGGGTGAAGCTTCTTTCCAGTCCCCCTCCCTGGCCAGCTCTGCTTTTGTTCCCAAGGCAGGCATCTGTGTTTCCTAGGCAACCGCTGATGGAATCGCTGGTTGCTGAGGAAACGGGCTCAGGGCTGGTAGGTCAGCCCTAGTCCTGCAGGGTGGGGCCCGGCGACCTGGTACTTTCCCCTTGCAGGCCAGTGAAGGGTACTTCAGCCAATCACAGGAGGAGGAGTTTGCCCAATCAGAAGACCCGTGTGCGAAGGCTCCGCCTCCTGTGTTCTACAACAAGCCTCCAGGTAGTCTTGAGATGGAGGATGAGAGGGGAATCTGGGCGAAGGTGCTGGATTTAACCAGGCCCAGCACGCCTCGCCTCTCTCTCGGGTGTGGGACACAGAGAAGGATCTGCTGCGCCATCTCCTTAATGCCCCTCCCATCTCCTGACACCCTTTAGAAATCGATATCACCTGCTGGGATGCAGATCCAGTACCAGAAGAGGAGGAGAGCTTCGAGGGTGGAGATTAGCGGTGTGTCTGCTCTGAGGCTGCCCTCGCCAAGGCCGCCAACTTCCAGGCTTCTGGCCAGACGGCCCGCCGTGCCTGCACTCGCAGCAGCTCCGCCTGGCACCCACTCCGGATTCCGGCCCTGGCCCGGACTCGGCCGCTTCCCCACCCACAGGGCCAAACTTTGACAGCTTTTCTCTTTTTTTTAAAGTGAATAGGAGACTTGTACAGTTGACTGATTTTCTTCCCGTTGGTAGTTAAGACGCTGTTGCAGATTCCACTCTCTCCCTATCCGGTCCAGATTGTAGCTCTTAGTCCTCCCTGCTCAGCTGGCCGGGGTGGAGGTCTCCCCCTGCTTGGGGCCTGGTGTGGGGGAGCTCTGGTGGAAAATGTTCCCTCACCTTTTTTCCTAGTTTTATGTTTCTTGGAAAAATATCACTTTGTATTCTCTGTCCAGGGCTTCAGATATTTTGCACGAATTTTAAAACATGGCAATAAATGGCTCGTGGGCTCTGGTTCCCTGGGACCCCCCCTCCCTGCCCTTCTCTTAATACCTCCCTGCCTGGCCCAAAGGAAGTAGCAGGCCCACCTGGGGCCCCTTGGCTTCCCTGCCCTCTCCTGCCCCCTCCTGCTGGGCAGGTCCCAGGCTGGAGATCCTCGGATCCATTCAGGTTAGGGCTATTGGGGGGGCTAGGTTTGGGGGGGCTTTCTTAACGCCTCCCTCTGCTTGGGTTCCTTTTTCACTTTCAGTAACTGTTTTTTGGAAAGCACAAACTTCTGTAACAGGTCGTGCTCATGTCTGTTAATAAAGAAATCCAGATCCCTTTGGGCCTGCTGCTCCGGGCCTCCAGGGGCTGATCTAGGGTGGGCAGCCCGGCCGCCCGGCCTCCCACTCCCAATTCCTATTTCTAAGGCCATAGACGAAGGGACAGACAGTTTACCTAGATCTCACTGCATGGTCTGGGACACCCGGGAACCAGTATAGTTCCAGAAAGCCCCCCTCAGTTTTAGTTCCGCACCATCAAGCCAGCTTGTAGGCAGACTGCGAGTTAACATTCCTTTGTTCCTCATGGCCCTGGCGTGCATGGACACCAGCTCTCTGGTTGAACCTTGGGTGCAAGTAGTGGCCACTCCCTCCGCTTGTACCAAAGCAGATCACACACCTTTATTATCCTCAAAATGTAACAAACAGGGTAAGAAATCCCTCCCCCCCCTCTCCCCCAGTCCAAGGGAAGAATTTAAAAAGCCCCGCATTTGGGCCAGGAGTCCGCGGGTGGGGCCGGGACGCCGGGCGCCCCTCTATACGGCTGTAGTCCTCCCGAACAAGGGGATGGAGACCGGCAGACGCCAAGCTCCGTGCTCCAGGGGCTCGCGGCTACTGAGCTCTGAGTCGGTCCAGCTGGGGAAGACCCGGCGGCCGCGGTCCGCCTGCAGGCAGAGCGAAGGGCAAGGCGGTGCGGGGCGCGGGGCGCTGGGCAGGTGCAGCGCCGACGTGTATCCCCGGTCCAGAAAGAGTGGCTTGTAGCTGGGTGGCGGCTGCTCCTGTTTCTCCGCGCTGTCGCGGCGGCTCAGAAAGGGCGTAACGATCTTTCGGTAGAGGCCGCGCGTGTCCGTGAGCACCTCGCTGTAGGGCGGTGGCGGCTCTGCCATCAGCACCGCCTCTTCGTAGCACGGTGGCTTAGACATGTCCGATTCCGCTGCAGAATGGGAAGCAGCCCGAGGAATGAGGCTACTGGTCCCCAGCCTCACGCAGAGACTTTGGCCAGCTGCCAACCCCAGACCCAGGGCCACCTCGAGGGAACCCGCTCCCTCCCCTGGCAAAAGCCCCGCGTATTTGTAGACAGCCCGCACCCTGCCAGGGCCCGCCCAACTTGGTGGCCCCGGGCGCCCTCTGGCGGAGACCGTACTTACCCTGGCGGGGATAGCTCCAGGGCCGCGGCGGCACTGAGAGATGCGGCGGCGGCGGGTGCGGAAGCGCGTGGTGATGTGGATGCGCGTGGGCATGCGACTGCGCAGGCCCGTGGTGCAGCAGCGGGTGCACGTGCACATGCGGGTGCGCGTGCGCCGGCGCTTCCAGGCGGCCCCGATGTGGTGGTGGTGGTGGTGGTGGTGGTGGTGGTGGTGCCAGGCCCGGGGGGCTCCCGGCTAGGCTGCCCTCAAGCTCGAGGGGCTCCAGCTCAAGAGCTCTCAGGTTCTGCTCGCGCAGTCGCTCCTCCTGGCGCCGTTTGAGGCGTCGGCGCAGAAAGCTGCAGAAGCAGCAGAGCAGAACGATGAGGCCCCAAATGAGCCAGAAGCCGGCGAAGCACGTGAGGAACGTGTAGGTGCCCTGGGACATAACCATGGCGGCGGCGCAGGCAGCGGGTCCTCGGCTGCTTCACTGGACACTGCTCTCCTCTGCGTGGCCCCGGGCCCGCGCCACGCTCCCAGGTGCCGCCAGCGTCACTTTGGGTCCCGTGGCCGGGGGCTGCCCGCGGCTGGGCTCAAGTCGTGCGCGCGCCGGCAGGGGGCAGCAGTGGCGTCCGCTTCTTCCCATGGCGCCGGCGGGCGCGCGGGCTGCCTCACCCAGGGCCGCGCGTGACCTGTGGGCAGACACAGGGCGCGGTGAAGGCGCGCCACAGCCCCCAATGACTTTCCTGCCCGCACCCGCGCTCTGAACAGTCTCGGGGAAGCCTTCTTGCGGGAACCCCCGCACTCCCCGGGGGACCGGTGACGTCATCAAGGAGGCTGACATCATTCTTAAAGGCTTCCCGGGTAGGGTTTCCCCGGATCTGAGACAGGGCCGCTACCGCCGCTAGGCCAGGGTGTGTGTGGGGGGGAAGGGGAGGGCGCGGGAAACACTGAATCGCCCAGCAGGGGGCGCGCAAGGGAGATTAGCCACTCGCGTCTCCGGTGAACAAGGCACCCCAGCTTGGAAAGTTTCAGAGGCCTGTGGGCCCACCCCTAAGGCGCTAAAAAAGAATCTGGGTGGGAAAAGGGTGGCTGACCTCCAATAGCCCCACCAGCAGCCCACCTTGTGCTCGGCTACAGCCCTGTGCTCGGCTACAGTTAATGGTAGCCTCCAGCGCTGTGGGCCTTGTACCCCAGTCCTGGCTGCCCAAGGAATGGTACATCCTTGTCCCATACCACAGTCTCTTGGTCTTCGCCGCTCTCTCAGGGGGCTTGGGAGTCCGGCAGCGTGCCATGGACCCTGCCTTTGTTTGCCTAGCGAACCTCTTTTCTTTCGTTCCTAGCGTCCCTCTTTTCTCTAGGCGCCTCCGCCTGCAGGATTGCAGCTCCAACTCCGCTTCTCCCACCGTGCTGCCCCGCCAGTTCTAGGCCCCTTCTGCAATTCCCTTCCCTCTGCAGAAGGGAGGGAAAGTAGGTAGGACTCAGAAGTTTGTTTTCCAGATCCACCTGGTCCTGAACCGCTCCAGATGGACAGCTCTAGTTCCACTTCCTCCTCTCCACAGCCAGGGTTGAGGGAGAATGGTGCATTCTCAGGGGTATGGGGGGCGGGGGAAGCCCTGGACTCTGGGGAGTGAACGGTGGCAGGACACTGTTCACCACCCCCACAGAACAGAAATGAACCTTTGGGATCAGTGGAATTAGTCTTGTTTTACAGGTGAGGAGGTGGGTTTGTAATTAACTACGTAGATGGCAAGTGGCAGAGCCATCATTTGAACTGGGGAAAATGCTGCTGCCTGAGCTACTTTGGGGGCCTCCTGCAGGAGCCCCAAAGGACCTCCCCACTCTCAGCAGGCCCAAGACACAAACATGCACTCAAGTTATGGTGGCCCTGAGCCCCAAGCTGGGAGGCTCCAGACTAAGCCATCTCTGGCTGGTCCAGCAAGCTGGGGAGAAGCCAGAACATGCTGCTCCACCTTCTCCCCAGATGGCTGCTGTCTGACTCTATGGCTGCCTCCAGCCATGTGCCACTTGGTGCCCGTGCCAGTCCCTTTCTCCTGGGCCTGCGTTCCAGAACAGACAATGGCAGGAACAATAGCTCTGCCCGCCCCCTCAACAACCCCACCATGAGGCTGCCATGGCGACGAAGCCCAGATAAAAAAACACGATGCTGCCAGTCACTGGGAGTTAATTAAATCTGTTGTTCTCCTTTTCCCGAGCCCTCAGGAATTTTCAGGAATGCTCTGAGGATGCTGGCACTAACTAGGGGCCCCTTGGCCTCCCGGGCAGGAACAGTTCTGAATCAGAAAAAGCACTTCTAGGGTTGGAGATGAAGGGATTTAGCTGAATTAGAAATAATCTACCAACGGCCATCTAGTATGTGCCAGGCCTGATTCTAGGCCCTTTACATGCAGAAACTTACGTGATTTTTGGTACTTCCTGGTCTTTGGAGGTTGTGCCAATTTTGCAGATGAGCAGACAAGCTCAGAGAAGGAAATGACTTGCCTTAGGACATACCAGAGCTAAGGAGCTCTTGTGGCGTAGTGCCTAAGTCATTTGACTGCTAACTAGAAGGTCAGTGGTTCAAATCCACCAGCCATTCTGCAGAAGGAAAACTGGGCAATCTACTTCTATAAAGATTTACCCTCTCAGAAGACCAATAGTGGTTGCTGTGAGTTGGAATCAATTCAGTGGCAGTGAGTTTGGTTTTGTTTGGTTTTGAGGATGCCCAGCTAATAAGGGGAGGAGCTAGGTCTGACCCTGAGTCTGAATCCACAAGTCTGTGTCAAAAGGCAAGTGAACATTTGGTACACAGGACTTGGTGGCAGTAGGGGCACAGGGCAGACTGGCCAGCTCATAGTATTTCCTGTTGCTTCTTGCCAAGGCCCTGGTGCACCTGGCCACTAGTCCTCTGCTGCCATGAAACAGCTCAAGGGTGGGAAAAGACTTCAAGGTAAAGGAGAGATAGGACAGCGGTTTCATGGTTCACAAGGAACAAAGGATAAGGACCTAGCCCTGAGAATGTCCAACTCAACGGGCTGGGCATTAGGCCAGACTATGGCAGGCCACACCTAAGTTCCACTGGTACCACGTCACCTCTCAGCTAGGAGTCCTTGCTGAATTTTACAGATGTAGAAACTATGGGTCAGAGAGCAAAGTCTCTTGCTTAGGACTCACCGCTCAGTCTGGCCTGTGACTCCAGTGTGGCTCCATCACCCAGTCTGAGCCAGGATTTGATGCTAGCTACACCTCCATGGCTGTTGCTTCACTTGGTGGGACTATACCTAACCTTAAGGAGGTCCTGCCTCCTCCCCTGTATCTAGCCCCCAGGAGTTGACTGGTATCTTCCCATGTACCCCACAGTAGGTGTTCAATAGATAAGCATCAAGAGATTCATTGGGACATTTCAAAGTTTTGGCCAGGCCAAACTTCTCAAAAATTCCCCCCAAATTGGTGCCCCTTTACCCTCCATGCCCTTGGGCATGCTCCTGCTCTTGTCTAGGTAGCCCTGGGGACTCACACCCTGCCCGAGCCTCTGGTTCACAGCCCCTCCCTTTGCTCATACAGCTCCAGTATGTTACCTGCAAACACCGGCCATTAGTCCAGCCCTGACTGTGTGGGCCAGGAGCCTG